TTTATTTTTTCCCCCCAAAGCCCCAGTAGATAGTTATATGTCATAGCTGCACATCCTTCTAGTCGCTGTATGTGGGACGCGGCCTCAGCATGGCCGGAGAAGCGGTGCGTCGGTGCACGACCCGGGCCGTCAGCAGCGGAGCCCGCACACTTAACCGCTAAGCCACGGGGCCGGCCCCATTCTGCCTTCTTGTTTCAGCTCTGATAAAAAATATAAAATAAACATACAGAAAAGAGAGACTAACACTAGCTAGGGAGCTAGGAAAGGCTTTACAGTAGAAGTAGCACCATAGCTGGGCCTTCAAGGATAGGTAGAAATTAGTAGAGATACAGAAAGAAGGGCCTTTTAATAGAAGAAAATAATATGAATAAAGAGACACAGAAGTCTAGCTAATGGTAACGTCTTAAGCATAATGGTAAGAGATAAAGCTAAGATGCGGTTGGATCAGGAAGAGGCTCAACTGCCATGTCACAGACTGAATTTTATTCAACAGGTGATGGGGAAACTACTGAAAAGATGTGAACATGCAAGTCACATGATCAGAGATGGACTTTAAAGATTGAACTGGCATGAGTGGGTAGAAAGGAATGGCAACAAAGATACTGGAAGCAGGAAAACCAGTTAGGATGCTGTTAGAATAGTCTAAGCAAAAGGTAATAAAGTCCAAAACTAGGGCAGTGGCAGTAAAACTAGAACAGAAGTAACGACTACAAGAGACACCGCATACTATTAGAATGATTTATTGGCTCTAGAAGGATAGATCTTACAAAATTTTAGCTAGATGAGGCAAACACAGACATTTTCCACAGTAAAAACAAAAAGGTGGCTCATGTGGCTGTTTACCAGGCATGAAGAATAGGAATAAGTTGTATAAATACTTTGGTGGGACACCTTACTATATTATGCATTCAATAATTACTTATTGAGTGCCAAGCACTGTGCAAGGTTATACAGTAGCAAACAAGAGAAAACACTACTCTTTTATTCACTGAGTTTATAGATACTGACAATGCATTATGGCAAATCTTTATGAAAATTCCTACACTAATATAAAAATAACTTGTGTACTAAATTTTCTTTGAAGTCAATCCTGGTTATGTGCTTTCAGTTGAAAGTCAAAGCAACAATTGTTAAAGATCAGTTGTCTGAGATCTCATATCCATCTAAATCATTGCTGAGATTAAGTCAAGTGAAAAATATTTACTGAGTACCAATTGAATACTCACATTGAACTAGGTGTCATGGAAAATACATATGACAATGACTTCCAAAAATGCCAAGAACTAATAAAGCCCAGTGAAAAGTACTACCCCCTTCACTCTTTTTTTTCCTTTCCCCAAAGCCCAGTAGATAGTTCTATGTCATAGCTGCATATCCTTCTAGTTGCTGTATGTGGGACGTGGCCTCAGCATGGCCAGAGAAGCGGTACGTTGGTACACGCCCGAGATCTGAACCTGGGCTGCCAGTAGCGGAGCACGCGCACTTAACCGCTAAGCCATGGGGCTGGCCCCCCCTTCACTTTTAATAGAGGAACAAACTGCAATTCATGCCCTATATAAAAACCAAACTGATATAAAAATTTCAAAAAATGCTTATTAACAGATTTTAAAAAGCTAAACACTACCTAATCTACAAATAAAAACAAGCTACTAGAAACAAATTTTGAAAATCTGAGTTGCAAAATTTGGAATGATTTAAGAAAAAACTAAAAAAAAAATGGAATAAAAAGATGAAAAAATATTTAAGCAAATATGAAATATCCTTTCAAAGAAACTGGTAGTTTACATAACTGAGTCCACTTGAATCAGATTAAGTATATCCTAAAATGTGTATCAGAATGATGTAGTAACGAAGAGATGAATTTTAAGATTAGACACGACTCCACTTAGATATCTCTCTTACAGTATGGATCTTATGGCCCTATTCCAGTGAGTGATTTTCAAACTCAAAGGCAAGGATTTACCAAGGAAGCTTGTTAAAAATGCAGATTTCTTGGGCCGGCCCTGTGGCTTGGTGGTTAAGTGCGCGCACTGCGATGCTGGTGGCCCGGGTTCGGATCCCGGGTGCGCATCGAGGCACCACTTCTCCGTTCATCCTGAGGCCGAGTCCCACATACAGCAACTAGAAGGATGTGCAGCTACGACACACAACTATCCACTGGGGCTTTGGGGGGAAAAATAAAATAAATAAAATCTTAAAAAAAAAAAAATGCAGATTTCTTGAACTGAGTTCCAGAGATTTTGAATTTCTAAGATCTGTGGTAGGGCTCAGGAATTTACAAATTTTAATGCAAGCATTCAAAGTAACTCTATTGCAAGCAGTCAGGGTTAACACTTTGAAGAATCCTGCAGTGTTTTAACTCAACTAAGATCTTCAAGTTAAAAACAAGATAAGCTAGACAGAGCAAGGTTAAATGCCTTACTCAAGTTTAGAGTCCCCCATTCCTGCCAGGCTGACAGAGTTCAGTTTTCCTCCCCTGGGCCTTTGCAGTTTGTTCAGCCTCTCCCACTATCCTGCTCCTACCCACTTTCAAAGCCAAATTCTGTGATAAGGTCTTTCATGACCACCCGGGCCCATACCGGGGTTGCACTGCTAATTTTCTGAATATATCTTTTTCCACAACTGCAATAAAAAAGCTCCCTGGGGAGAAACTGAGCTTTTACTTTTGTATTCCTTCAGAGTGAGATATATGAATACTTTATTCCTTTTTACTTCCTTCAATTTGCAAGCAGTATCCTGCTTTTCTCCAAGTAAACACTTAGCACAGTGCAAAGCACAGATTACTAAACAAATGGCAGCTTATACTTCTTAGCCCTATAAAACACTGTTTTTCTAACTGTGGGCCATGCTCACAATCAAATGTGAAACCAATTTAGTGGGTCACAAATATCATTAAAGAAAAACAAAGAATACTTGATACGTGTGAGGGGAGATTGTAATGTAAAATATATTTCTTACTGTGGGTTGCAGTCAAAATAGTTTAAAAGCCACAATTTTGTAAATGTTGATAAACTTCTCCAACACATCTTTACCATTAGGTGTGCAAAGACATTTTCTCACCCAATTAACGTTCAACCATTCAGTTAGTGTTCCCATTCTCCACTCCCCAAAGCTAATCCTAGATTTATTTATTTATCCCCTGCTTCCTTAACTCAAATGAAAAGAAGAGATAAGTCCTAAGTCTGATGAGCATTTTTCACAGTACCAATTTCACAGTAGTCTGTGTTCCTTCTTCAGATGAGTCATCTGAGTGTTATGATGCACTTCGGATGGGCTCTTGGAGCACCTGTCTCTCCACTCCAGTCTATCTGAAATTCTAGATGTCCCAAACAGGGCTTTGAAATTTTCAGAACCTGTTTCATCCACACAGGGCTTAGGCTTATTAATGCGTGTGGTTTTTTTCAAGATCACCTTCTTTCCTTATCTTAGAGCCAGATTCTCTATTTCCACCATAACATTACTTTCTGGTAATCCTTGATGCTCTTTACTAATTTAAATATAATTATATATGTTCCAAATCAGTTTTATTTTCTCTTCTCTGCTTCTCTAAGGCAGCATTCATATTGACAAATCTGTACCCTTTTCTAGGTTTTGCATGTATCTTGCACCCTCTTAACCAGCAGGCAAAATGTGAATACTTATCTAGGCCTAACAATGTGGTAACTGTGATCTGTCATGTGTCTAATACAGCCTTATTCATTATACTGTTACCAACAATACTCTCATTACTTTAGTTTGAACTCAAACCTCACTTCCTCCAATAACTTTCCTAAATCCCTCCAATGGAATTAGTCTACCATCCTCCTAACCTCATTAACACTGCTCACACCTCTATAGCACCTATCAGTCTAATGCTACATTAAAATTATCTATGAATCTGTCTCCTACACTGGTCTCCATGATCGACTCGAACGCCTCTGTGTATACCTCCCACTGTGCACCAAACACTGGAGCGCACTTCACATAGTATGGCCTTGGTTACATCTGCTTTATCGTACTGAAAAGGTGAAGAGCTTAATTCAGTGGATATAAAAATAGGTTAGGAGCTGTTTCTAATTCTGCACACCCTCCATACTGCTTGCTCAATGATAAAGTATTTTAAAAAATAAATACAACTATGAAAGATATAATGGGAGAACGGTGGGGAAATGGCAATAAAGAATGCAGAAATAAGACCTGAAGCCATGATAAAACGGACGTAACGCTCTCTGCATTTCCACACGTGGTCCGGTAAGTCGGTGTCTGAATCTCTCAGCCTGCACCATTCTGCTCTGTCATCCCCTTTCACTCTATTTCGAAACCTCCCACACCACTTCGCTGAACTTGCCTTAGCTCTCTCTCACAGGCCCAGGTAGCCCAAAGGATATTAGCCAATCGACTCCCTCTTGCCTTGCTCCTGTTCCGGCCTCCACTGGCCACAATCACAAGAATAAGAGTGGGCAACCATTTCCCTTTAACAGTCCCAACTAAAATGGAAGCGCGTCTAGACCTGGGTACCTTTAATCCTCTGTAAGCCCCAGAGTTTTTAGGTCACCGTACTTCCCGCATTGGCTATCGTCTCAAAATGACTTGAGTAGAGATCTGTCTTCCAGGCGCAGCCTTTCCACAACTTCCAGCACCACCTTAAGGTCCCATTACCCTGCACACACGCAGCCTTACCCCGTAGGCCTCAAGGAAGGTTCTACCTTATTCCGGCGGTCAAGGTTCCCTAAAATAGCTTGACCTCTGGGAGCTTTTATTTAAACATACCCCACACGGGCTAGTTTCCTTCCTCGAAACTGGTCTTCCCACTCGTCCTATACTTCCTGAGTTTCCACCCTTCCCCAAGTAACGTGTCCACCGATCACCTCCCGCACCTGGGGAGATCTGCATCCCGGCTCTAACCACCATCACTTCTTTTCCATCCCCGGCTGGGCGGCTGGGGCTCGGCCTCCCGCTCGCTCGAGGGTCTGCACGCCGGCCCCTCGCCCCTGCTGTACCGCCGCGCCTCCCCTACTCACTTTGGGCTTCTCGGGCAATTTCTTCCGGTTCTTCTTCTTCTGCTCCTCGCTCCTGAGATTCTTCAGCTGCGCTAGGTCGTCAGGGGCCGCGGCCGGCGCGGCCGCCGCCTCCTCCCGCTTGCGGGGCGGGCTCCTCCGCTTCTTGCGGGCGCCGGCGCAAGCCGCGGCCCAGCCGTAGCCGAGCAAGAAGAGCAGCAGCAGCCCGAGCGCGGCCGTGCCCACCAGGATCACCCAGCCCGGGTACCGCTTCGGCTCCAGCCCCAGGTCGAGGCCCAGCTCGGTGCGCAGAAAGCCTAGGCCGACCGAGAGCATTTCCCGCAGCCGGGCCGAGGCCTCCTCGGCCCGCTGGGCCAGCTCGTCCAGCCAGCTCGGTGCAGCCATCTTCCCTCCTGTCAGAGGGACTCGCGGGATGACGCTGGGCCGCAGAGACGCCGTGGAACAGTCACGGGGAGCCAGGAAGGGCCGAGCCGCCTGCCTCAGGCCGAGCGCATCGCGGCCGCCCCTCGCGCCGGAGCCGGGGATCGGCCGCTGTCGCCGCCAGGAGGAGAGGGGGCTCCCTGTCCCCCCTTGTCAGCCTCACTCCACCGCCGCCAGGAGGAGGGGGGCGGCGGGAGGGAGTGTCTCCAGTGGCGGCCGCTAAGCGGCGTCTCGGCGCCAGGCCCCGCTGACCTCCCTTGGCGGAACAATGGCGGCTCCAGCCGCGATCCACGCCGTGCGCGCGCGGACGCCCTGGAGGGCCGCGGGTCACGTGGGCGTTGGCGGGCGGGGCATGGGTGTCACGTGCGGGCGAGCGGGGCGGGGCGGGAGCCGTTGGGGCGCGCGCGGCGGTTGGCGGTGACCCGTTGGGGCCTGGTGGAGGTGCCGAGCCTGGGGACGCGTGACTGTGGACAGGAGGCTGGGAGGGGTTAACTGGAGGAAGCCTCCCCCGGGTGGCTGGTGGCCCGCAGCTGGGAGACGTGGCACTTTGAGTGAGCCAGGGGGATGGGGGGCGGGCGGGGAAGGAGTGAAGAGCGGGGAACCGGGTCACGGGGTCTAGGTCAGGGTCGCCCTAGTAGGTGTAGGTTTGCTTGGTGTCTTTTCTGGGAGTGGTGTTGGGATGGAAGCGGCTTTTGCTCCCTGGGCCACCGGTCGGCTAGATGCTTCCAGAGTGGGCTCAGTTGAATCTGAAGCCGGGCGCCTGTCTTCCAGGGCCTAGGTGTAATTCACGAATTGCATATTTCTCTTCAGGGCCCACTAACACCTCGTGCCTACCGTTTGGCAGCCTCGCTAGGGCGCGTTCGCGTCGTTTGGCTCATTCGCTCTTGCTCTCGCTGTAGTTACTCCCCAGAGTTCAAAAGTTGGGAAGCCCGTGGGCGGCACTATTTTCCTACTAATTTGTAGGTTTAATAAGAAATAATAAGAGAAGCACATTAGATTGTATTGACATGTAGAGATAGCTTCCTCGTTACGTTTTATTTTAAGCTTTTGTACAAGACTACAAAAGGAGTTTCAAGAAATTTTATTTTTATATGCTTTGTTGACCATCTCTGGGTAACGTTACGAGGAAATGAATTTGCCTTTTCAGATTTTAATTACAAAGACGATGTTTGAGGGCTTCCCTAGGGCTTTTAAATTCCATTTTCCTGTAAGGAAACTTTTATCATTCAGTGATAAAAAGCATGTAAGCAAGTGTCTTAGGTGAACTAAATCCTACAGGCTTTCTCAAAGACTACAAAGAGGGTAATATTAATAAGTACCGAAAGCCAAAGTGTATTAAGTATTTTGACCTACTTTGTAATAGTGTTGTAATGCATGTTGTGATTAATGGGTAGAAGGGAGTTTTGTAAATAATAGATAATAAAAATAAACTACTACTCCTGCTAAGCTTTATACAGACTTATAATCAAGACAGTGTAAATGACAAGGCCAAAAACTTAGAAGATGTTATCGGGATCTGCTTTAACTCTAAAAGGTTCCAAATTCTATTTATATATATATATTTTTTAATTTTTTGTTTATTGCAGTAACATTGGTTTATAACATTGTAAAAATTTCAGGTGTACATCATTGTACTTCTATTTCTGCATGGACCACATCTTGTTCACCACCAAAATACTAATTACAACCCATCACCACACACATGCACCGAATTATCCCTTTCACCCT